CAGCACTGTGCCCTGGACCCAGTGAGATGATGGATGTGACTGTGCTCCTGGGACGAGAGGGCTACGCTAAGGTTAGTTATACAACCTCCCAAACTCTCCTTAACCTCCTTCCAGGTGCCCCTTCAACAGCCCGGGCCCCCAAGAAGGTACCAGAAGATGTGGTCTGGGGTCCACAGGGCCCCACGGAGCAGGCCACTAACATTTCCACAGGGACACAAACCAGGCTTAGTTTCCAGGTGGGAAAAGCCCAGACACATGGCCAACGTGCCTTCCTCAAGGGGTAGCCTAGGAATTCCTAGATCCAATCAAGCCGTACACCAAGAATGTTATTTTTGTACCTTTTAATGCAATGGCATTTGGGGAAATTAGTGGAAAAAGAGCTGTGAGAGTCTCCAATTGTGTCATGTGAGTGACTAATTAAAGGGCCCTGGCTCTCCCAGGATGTTTGGTTACATTAATTCAAAATGTGACCTGTTTATTTTGCAAGGTCAGGAAGAAGACTTGCCTCCTAGAAAGCCAACGTGGCAATTAAATTAGAGTCACCAGGGTCTGCCTGAGGTAATGTATGAAAAAGGGCTTTGTAAACTGCTCAAAACCAGAGGTGACCCCTGTGTGGTTGTCCCCACTGCCCCCATTTAGCAGGGGCATAATCGCCTGCCACTGGTGGGAGGCTGTGAGCGCTTTTCTAGTTGAGGGAGGTACCTAGTAAGGCGGAAAGGGGCTGGAGTCTGGGGCCATACTCTGAATCTTGACACTGCACTTGAGCAAATCACTTCATCTCTGTGAATCCCCAGGTATAGCATGCATGTGGCTCATTGCACTATTTCTAGGGAGGTATTTTTGAGTGTATGTGGTAGGGGGAGGTGAGGGGGTTGGTAAAAAAGAGGAAGAAAGAATATCAAGGTTTTTTTTCAGCTTTGATTTTAGCTCCTTATAGGTGCTCAGCCGTGAAGCTACAGCCTCAGACAAAGAAACTGTAGTTGAATTTTGAAATCAGATATGGGAATTATTGGGTCCACAGACTGTCAGGGAGCCGTCTGTATGGAAGACAGCAGGACAACAAAGAAGGGAGGTCCATTCACCCAAGGGGATGTCAGGAAAGGTTCCTTAAGAACTCGGCAACTCTGAGAACTGAGCAGCTGGCTTCTCTTCTCCTGAATTCCCAGGCCTGCAAACCAGCCAGCCTGCTGGTGCTGGCCTCCTAAGCCCCCATGTCTACACCAGAGGGGCTTGGCCTTTCCAAGTAGCTGTTATGGATAAACATAGAGCTTCCCAGTCAGCAACTTGCAACTGTACCACGCCTTCTAGTTATCAAGCTTTCTAGTTATCTCTATAATCATCTGTGACTAAACATTTCTGAATCCTGGGACCATCTTCCCACCCCTGCTTGCCACTTTCAAAAAGGCATAATTCAGGATTATCCATTAGCCATCATTCTGAAATCCCCAAACTCTAAGACGGAAAGTTTTATTAAAACTGTATTGGTTGCGAAACCTGATCTGAACTGATATGGAGCTCAGAATCTTTCTTCTTTCTTTCCTTCTTCTTCTTTTTTTTTTTTTTAACCCAACCAGTGTAACTCTTCACATGTTTGACTGCAGAAATATCAATGTATTTGATTACCGTGGACCAGCCCAGCACTCTGGGAATGTTAGGAAGAACACAGTGCGTGAATGTTATTTCCTTCCTTAAATCTGAACATTTCTGATTTCTAAAACTCATTTGACTCCAAAGACTTCATTTCGGGGATTCTGACCCGATAGATTAAATACCTATTTATAAGGATCTTTCTGCTTAGAATCCCCTTCACCCCTCATCTGTCAGGAAAATATCTGCAAACATTTCAAATGTCACCGTGAATGAACGACAGAAGGAAGGAAGAAATCAATTTGTCTTGCTACTAGAGAGTTAGGTACTTTTCAACATAGCTCGTACAAGAATTTATTTACCAACAAGATCATTTGATGCAAAAGAGTCAGGAAGAAAGGTGAACAAAAATGTCTGAAAACCTCACATGCCACAATGTCCTTTACCCTTGGAACTCAGGACACATACAGACCCAAGGACCTGCGGTTGGCATAGAACAACTAAAACAGTTCCATGAAATTCACACTGAAAGGACACAAAAGTGCCACTGGACACTTCTCAACAGTAGGAAACAGGCACGATTTTGACTTCTGATTTCACAAACTGACTTAAAAGGACCCTGGCAGACTCCCTCAGGGGAATCTTGATAGGATCTAAATTAAGCTGAATTTTTTTTGTTTTGTTTTAAGAAAACACTTTTGTAAGGAGCTCACATACATAGCAGTGTTTCCCATTTAGAAAGAAAAATAAACACTCCTCCACAGGATTGAAAGTCAAAACAAAATAATCCCAGCTGGTTAAGATCCGAGAAAGTCAATGAAACTGCCAAACAACAGTGATGCTGACCAGTGTGAGCAGGCAGCAAAATCTGGAAAGTGAAGCAGGAAGGGCCCAGTGCAGGGGGAAAGTGGGGTGGGGGGGAAGCCAAGAACAGCCCAGCATCCAGGGCTTGGCTCTCATGAAGCAAAACCAGATTTAGTGCCTAAGTCACGAGCCTGATTTATCTTTGAAACTCCCACAGTCCTCACAAAAACACAACTGTAAGATTTCACTCTATGAACTCAAACAGACCTGACTTAGAAGCGGTGTGATTTAGAGGAAGTTACTTCACCTCTCTGGCCTGTTATTGCCTCCATGAGACTAAAGATGGCTATGACACAGGGGAGGTATGAAGATTCACTGAGATTCCATGAGATGCCACAATTCAATGAGATTAAACACTTCTCAAGTAATAGGGGCTTCAGAAAAGTTTGTGAGATGAGTAGCAGGAATCCAAGAATTGGTGGTTCTTTTAAAATCAGCTTTTCTTTGGTGGACTTCCCCTTATCTTTCTACTAAGGAGCAGAAAGAGAAATAACAGGGCCTGGTATTGGAAACGAAGCAATTAGGGGGAAAAAGGAAGAAAATCAGGTCTCTAGAATCAAGCAGGCTTGGGTGAGAGTCTCCACCATAGCGCTTAGAAGCAGCGGAGCTATGGTCAAGTCTCTGACTCTCACTGAGTCTCAGCTGCCTGAACAGAGAAATGGAGATAAATAGAAGCTCAGAAAAGATAATGCACGTAAAGAAAAGACTTAATCCAGAAGGTGCTCATTACATGTAAATTCTCCCACCTGCTCTGACCTCACCGAGGCTTTGAGAAAGAACAGCTTTCTCTGAGCTATTTATTCCCTCACACTCTTAAATATTAACCACCCAGGTTTTAAAGCCCTTTACTTTAAAATATAGGTGACAACAATTCACAGAACACTTAATATTTATTCCGAAAAGTATCTATGGTGGTATGAACAAATATCTACTTAATCTTAACTCCTTCCTGAGCTTCTCAGCTGTGACTAGTGATACTTTAGTCAGTGATTTCTAGATGGTTACCCTTGGGGGCGGATTAGGATTGTGATGATAGAAAAAGGTGCTTCCCCTTTGTTTCCATTCCGCCTGGACAGCGAGCTGTTCTGTGATACCTCACGTGGTCTCCCTGCTCTTTACAGGAGGATTTCAGCAGGGCAGTTCTGGGATCGCAGCCTGGGCTGGAGCTGACACAGCTGTAGGCAGAGGGTTACGGGGAGCCACGGGAGAGACAGCCCAGCTCCCGGAAGGCTGCTTCCCAAAGGGCCAGCCCTCGGGTGTAGGGTGCTGAGTCAGCTTCCACCAAAGGAAACTTCATTTTCACCCTTTAGGTGCCCGAGGGGCTACCTTTGTCATTTAAAGTCCCTTCTGAATGAAGTCTCTGAGGAAGCCGGCCTTTAAGGAGCCAGAACAATTAATCCATTTACGGTGGTCTTTAAAGCCTTAAATTGGTGGAAGGGAATGGAGGTGTGGAGATAGGGAAGGGAGATAAGGATGTTTATCTCCTTTACCTTGTTAAACTCCAGAGTGACCCTGGGAGGTTTTCCCCATTTCACAGATGGAGCAACTGAGGACCTGAGAGGTTAGGTCCTTTATCCAGGGTCACATCTCTGGGATCCAAGTGCAGAAAGCATGACTATGACTCTGCTCTCTGGGCTGCACTGTGGGCCTTATGTAGTTAGTACTGCTTGTTCATTCATTTACTCACTCACTAAATTTACATACACCGCATAAAAGGCAAACCATTAGAAGTGCTTATCTCTGGGAGGAAGGATTATAAGAGAACTTCACTTTGTACCTTTCTGTATTGTCTGAACATTAGCAAGCACTGTTACTTTCAAAACTGACAAAAACAACAGAGATAATCCCATTAAAAATAATTTCAAATTTTTCCAGGAAAAATAAATCAAACAGAAGTTTACATTTGTTGAGCCCACTATGCAGCAGGACCCACTCATCTTCATTTGCTAGTGCCATGTCCATGTCAGTACCAGCAGGTCCTTTGGCTCATAGAAGACCCCCTGATTTGGGATTTCAGGGGACACGAAGGTGGCAGGCAGGGTCTACCTGTGGGTTGAGACCAATTAGCTCTCATGACCCACCAAATCCAGAGCAGCAGCAGACCACTAAGGACCCAAGACTCTCCCTTCAGGCATGGGTCACATTTATTATCAACCTTTGGAGTGACACACTCAGAGCAGGGCCCCAGGGAAGGACTCCGAAGTGTCTCTAGGCCCCCTAGGGAGCAGGAGTACAGAGGAGCGTAAGTGAGCAGACAGCTGTAGGCCAATGTTCCCCCATCCTCCCTGCACATCAATAATGCAACAGTGCCATCAACTTGCAGCAGAACTTGCAACAATGTGACTGCTCTTGTTCAGTTAATTAGCAAAGGGAGAGATTAAGGTCTTTAATCTCCCCTTAGCTACAGGCTTATTTACTTAGAAATGAACAAAGATATCACTATATATATATATTTTTTTTTTCCAAACAAGCTTAAGAAGGCTAGCACATTGGTCAGCACCACACCACACTCATATTAAAGGGGTACCTTAGAGACTGCTCCATCATTGGCAAGATGGGGAAACTAAGGCCAGTGATTGGCCAAGGACAAGTAGTCAGTGAGCCACAGAGTTGGGCCTGGAACCCAGTCCAGGGTTCCCGTTTCTGTGCAGAATTTAAAACATGGGCAGCTAAAAGGTAGAGAGGAGGAGTGACACTGAACCACCAAAAGGATAGTGCCACCCTCAAGAGCACAGAGGGAAAAGGCCCTGGAGGACGGTTTGGTTTTTGGTCACAGAGAATGCAGGCCTTAAGATCCTGTCAGAAAAGAACCATCAAGGCCAAAGACCTCTTCTGATTTTCAAAAAGAACAAAGTCTAGGAGAGGTCCTGGTTAAGGGGTAGGGGCTGGGACAAACCACTTTTCTTTGTCACTGGGGGATGGGGTGGAGCATGATGTCTGGAGGCCTTCAGCTCACTACCTAGAGGATCTCAGGTCATGTGGCCTTCTGCACCCTTTCAAAGTTACTGTCTATTAATACTGACCATGCTCCTAGGTGTAAAAGAGCTGCGGGCAGGATCCCACCGCTCCCCACTTTGGGTCCTTTGCCATGTTTTCCCTCTGCCTAGAATGTCCTGGGTTATTAAAGCCCTTGGTTATCTCTGCTTGGTGAACCCCACTTATTCCTTCAGCTCTAGTGAAGCCTCTTCCAGGAAGCATACCATGATTACCCCACACAGAGTGGAGGCTCCTTCCTAAGTCACCCACATCCTAGGTTCCTACCTCCCTTATCACCTTGGGCTGTAATGATTCCAAGAGAATCATTCTCTGAGAATCCTTAAGTGCCAGGCAGTGTACTGGGAGCTTTCACATACAGGCTTTCTGTAAATCCCCTGGAGGGAGGTGGGTTGTGACTGTGGCCATGACTAACCTTTACTAAACTCCTTCTCTATCCCAGGCCCTGTGATGAGCGCTCATCTGGGTACTAGCCTGTCCATGGCATATTTGCTTGAGGAAACAAGCTTAGAGGCAGAGTGACTTATCTGAAGTCCCACAGTGATAAAACCTGTATTTAATGCAGATGTCTGATTATAGAGCCCATGGATCCTGCCTTATATCTCTTCAAATCTCTGCCTCCTTCTCCAGAACTTAGCCTGGAATTTAGTGCCACACAGGCACTTATTAATAAATGTTTGCAACATCAACCCATAACCTACGTATTACGTGGGGAAAGTCTCATTTCCTTTCCCTTTGTTCGATAATCAGGAAATCTTGGACCATTAGGGAGATCCCAGATTACCTCAGGTATATCACCCTCCCTCTTATAGGCTTGAATTCCCTCTAGGCTTTGAATTCTTGCAAAGTGGACTGGCCACTGCTGGACACAGAGATGGCAAGCACCTTGGCCCAGGTCACACAGTACCTGACCAGGAGCTAAAACCTGGGTCTGCTGGCTCCTGGTTAGCCTGGAGCTCTTCCATACCTTCCAGACCACCCATACCTCTTAAGAGAGTCAGGGTAGAGTTTAGAAGAGGAGAGTTATTGTGGAGACAGCCCAGTGGCTCTCTCTGCAGTCAGCATTCAGCCCTGCAGCTGCCTTGGACTTTAGGGCCTGCATCTCCAAGGCAGCATGGAAGTCCAGGAACTTTCAATGCCAGCATTAGGTTGCAGGTAGTGGCCATTCTCTCCACTTGCTTATGGTCATTGGGAACACTATCATACCAGTCTCTTAGGCAGGGTTGTGAGGAGGATCCAATAAAGCAACAGTGGCTGGCACAGTCCCTGGCACACAGCAAGTAGTCAATCAGTGCTCTTTTTATTGTAATTTTTCTTTTCTTTTCTTTTCTGCTTCTATCTTTGTCTGGGTATCTTTGCCTGACTCGGTCTCTACCTGCTCTTTCTGTATCACTTTGTCTATCTGTGCATCTCTGTCCCTGCAGCTCTGTCTGCCCGATGTCTGTGATGGGAGTAGGAACAGCAGCCCTCCAACCCCCGCATACCCCAGCGGCGCAGCGGGGCAGGAGCGGGACTGCCCAAGCCCACGGATCCCGCCCGCCCGCCAGGTCCGCGAGAACCCCCAGCCCCCCATGCACCAGGCCCCTCCGTCCCTGCAAGCGACCCGAGCAGGCAGATTAACAGCATCGTCAACGAAAGGAAACCAACCCGCAGAAGTTAGTAAGAGAAAGGCACTTACCGTTCGCCGCGACCCCCAGGCTGGCAGAGCCACTTTTAACTAAGAATGAATTAGGGACAAACTCTTCCTCAGAGTCTGAGTCCGGGGTTGGCTGGGCCACACCGTTGCCTAGCAACCGCCTCTGGCTCTCATTGGCCGGAGGGGAGGGGGGCGGGGAGGGGGACTGCTCAATAGGGGTTGATGAAGCAGATGAACAATGCAAGGGAGCACCTGCGAACCACAAAGACAAACACAGACAGAAAAAAAAATAATGAAAATTGGTTTTGAGGCACACGGGGAGCGGGGAGGGAGCAAAATAAAACACGCATCAACAGGGGGAGGGGGCTCCCAACACTGGGCGATCTACTGCACACGTGGTCCCGGGGGCGGGGCTGATGCCTCCGAAAAGTTGGTGCAAACTCCTTCTGAAGAGCCGGGGGCCTCGTGCAGAAGTCTGCACTCTTGCAAAGAGGGTGCCCCTCGGAAACACTCAGGAAGCCCTTCCTGCTTTGCCTGTTCTCTGAGAGAGGCCTGAAAACCTGGGGTCTAGTCCTGGCGGGGCTGCGTTATCTATCAAACAGCTGCTCTCCTCTGAGCTTCAGCGGCCTTGCTGGCAAAATGAGCAGTCGGCCGCATTAGGTGATCGCTGAGCCCCTGCAAGCTGTCCATTCTGTGATGTCACCGAACTGAAATGATGTTCTTATTAGTGAGATTTTAATCCGACATGCCTAGAACAGGCTCTGGGCCTCATAAAAGGTAGAGGGAGCTGGAGAGAATGATTCAGGGCCTCCTCCACCGCTGGCATTCTAGGATTTCAACACACTAATCTTCTACTTTTCTAAGAATATGACATTTTCAAATTTTTAAGGCCTAACATTCTCTGCAAACCTCTCGAGAGCAAGAATTTTAGCAGTCTTTTCCACTTCTGTATCCCAGAATCTGGCATAGTGCCTGGCACATAGTAGGCAGTAAATAAATATTTGCTGAAGAGATGAATTCCAGGTGTCTAACAGACTGGAATCTATAAGTTCTAATAGTCTCAGACGAAAAAAAACTGTACCTTTTCTGGGCACTAACATGCTGTGAGTTCCAAGATGCACTAAGTCAGGATGATTGACTGCAAGTTTCTAACATGTCAGGGTTCTACGATTCTAAAATCCCAGCTTTCTACAGTTCTGTGAGCACACTCCCAATTCTGCAGGAGGAGGTGATAGATAGCCTGGGACAAGAGCTTTTAGGTCAGACAGTTTGCAGGCTTATCTGCGTGTGGCCTTTAGGCATGTGCAGTACATCGTGTACAAGAGAGGGAAGGTAAGCACAGACATATAAAAGTATACAGTACAAGACAACGCATCCACTGGACAGCAAGGGCTGCTGCTTTTTTCCCACTTTGATGATAGAAGGTTTAAAACACAATCAGATCCACCTAGCTTTTCAGAGGCTGAAACTTAGGAAACACAATGCAGCCCAGACATGCCATCGGAAGATGTGGCAGAGCTCTAAGGGGGAGATGGCACAGAGAGCTGCTGACTGTTGGAGGAGGGGGAGCTTTTTGTGGTCTGTCCACCAAGAGAAGCTCACTCAGTTCAGTCACCAAATCCTGCAGGATTCTGCAGGTTCCATGACTCTTATGTCAACCCCTGAGCCCAACCACGTGTAACATTTTACTGAGTTGCTGTGGATGCCTTTGGCTGGTTCATATTAGAAATTCAGTAAGAACGACTGAGGCAGCAGGATCAATGATTGTGGTACAGTCTCTGGGTGGCTCTCCCATCTGCATTTTGATTTACCTAAATATCTGGGTTATTATTTACCTTAAAATTATCCAAACCAGTGTTTCCAATTCACCCAGGGAGAACCTTCCCTGACACCACTTACCATATAGCAAGTCCTAAAGATTAGTTCTTTTCTTTGAACTAATCTTTTTTTAGTTCTGTTATCACATTGGCTCTACTGTATTTGTAGTTATCTGTAGCTGTCTCACGTATAAAAGCATATGGCCCATTCTTACAATAGAGTACATTCTTGGAGTGGGCTTTGGAGTTCAACAGAATTGGGGCTTGCATCATACCCTAGCCTTCTATTAGCTGTATGATCTTGGGTAAATTTCTTCTGGTTCCTCATTTGTAAGTTGGCAAACCCCCCCCCCCTTTTATAAAGTTACTTTAAGGACTAAAGATACTATATCCGGGCATACAGTATGCTTGAGCAAGCAGAATTCCAGGGTCAGTGCTTACCAAACATTTACTAAATTGAATGAAACCACCCCCACGGGGAACCCCAGTCAAGATTTCCCTTCCCTTGCAATCCCAGTCTTGGAAAGATTTTGTCAGCCAGGCTGCATTTATTAGGCACATATACATTCATTTCCTCATCCTTTATTAACCAAAGACATCTTCTAATCTCCAATCAGAGCTTTTGATGAGCTTGAGATAACCAGTACCATACTATGCTGAGTTGTTAGAATTTCAGACAAAAGTTAAGAAACATGATATATTGTTCTGGGTGCTTGTTACAGCCTCTTCCTGAGTAAATCTGTCAAGCTTCATGAAATAAATAGTTCCAGAACTAAGTAAATTGTTCCATTGCAAACATCAGTGATCCTAGGCTAAGGAACGCCTATTCCCTCACAGGTCTCACGCCTGTTTCCTCTCCCGTCCAGCCACTCTCCAGGCCTCACCCAAGGTCCTTAGGGTTGCTCTGAATATTCATAACCTAGCATTCAAAGCACCTAACAAGGTGCCAGATCCTTAGTAGGTGCACGATAACTCATGAGGTTTCTGTGAAGTACAGGTATTAATTGGAAGCATCTTAATTCCCTTCCTCTTTTCATCAGCACTGTTTAATTGAAGTGGTTCCAAGGTAGGGGCACAAAACCATCTCCTGGCTGTATGACCTGGAGTGAGTCACTTCACATTTCTTAGTCTTCATCTTCTCTTTTAAAAAATGTTGTGTCAATACCCACTGCAAAGAACTTTTGAGAGAAGTGATATTATGCTTGTAAGCAGCATGGGAATCTCATGGTAAGAGCTCAACCAACATTGCTTCCCTTTGCTACCCCTCCAGCTGTAGGTCTTTGAGAGTAAGAACAAGGTGGTTGTGGGGAATAAACAATGACAGATCTGCAAGCCCACCAGTGACACTTTTCTCATTACGTGTCACTTGCTGACATCATATGAGAGGAAAAATATTAGGGAGGCAGCTGCGCTACACGAAAGGAATACATGACAAGGGAATCCTGAGACCTGTAGACACAGCCACCTCCGTTACTCCCGCCTTCGTGTGCATCGAGGGTAGCTTTCCTGAGCATGTGAAAAGTACCCTGTAACTAGGGCAAGCTGTGCTCAAGGAAGAGCCTTCTAGTATTCTGTATTCTGAGCTGTCTTTGGAATTTGCTGTGAGACTAAAGTGTGAAGGCTAGCTATGGACAAGTTCATTATTCTGTCAAAGAAAAAAGACCATTAACAAAATGCACTTTTTAACACTTTTCTCAGCAGTCCTAAGAAATCCATCTAAACACCCAAATGGAACCTTATTGATCTACATTAAACCCATCTAGGCTATGGTAGTGAAAGTCACTGCCCGCTCATGCAGCAGGAAGTGTGAGTCTGACCTGTAAACCCGGAGCACTAGCTGTGTGCTGCAGGGAGGGCACTTTCTTCACAGGGGTTCCCTCGATTAGAGGATGAGCCTCCTAATATCCTTTTAACTGGCAGCCCTGCATTTTAGAAGCTTGTATATAAAATGCTTAGCATAGCACCCAGTAAACAGCAATTACTCAATACGTGACACCTAGAAAAAAACCAAAACACTCAGACCTAAGCAGGTAACTCATCTCAGTGGAATCCTGAGCTGATGGATTCACCCTTCCCATGAAGCCTGAATATGTTTCATCTCCTCAGTCTCCTTTCTGTAAATATTCTAGCCACTCCACTTAAAACCAAAGGCATTTGTTCTTTTCTCATGAGCCAACCTCGTATCTATTTCCTCTTAACAGGGTAGCCAGTTGGTCCACTGAAGAAGTAAAATCTTACTCAGTTCTGTGCAGAGGATGGGGCATTGAGAAAAACCGGAATCTTTTTCGACAAGAGGACCAGGAACTCCTTTGCAGTGGTAGCACGTCCTGCTTCTGATGCCAGTGAGTGATGTTCACGTCTACTGCTGAAACACCCTAGCCTGCCCTTCAGGGACCACAGGTGCTCATCTCTGTGTCCTGGCCTGGCTTAGAGTCTCAGCTCAAAAAAGTTAGCAGAACTGGTTCCCATGGTTTTTGCAATGGATTGAAATCCACTGCTGTGAAGCATTTCAAAGTGCTACATGCACCCCAGTGTTCACAGCAGCATTATATACAATAGCCAAGACATGGAAGCAACCTAAATGTCCATCGACAGATGACTAGATAAAGAAGTCATGGTATACTTATACAGTGGAATACTACTCAGCCATAAAAAGAGTAAAATAATGCCATTTGCAGCAATGTGGATGGACCTAGAGATCATCATTGTAAGTCAAGTAAGCCAGAAAGAGAAAGAAAAATACCATATGATATCACTCATATGTGAAATCTAAAAAAAGAAAAAAGAGGACACTAATGAACTTATTTACAAAAAAGAAACAGACTTGCAGACATAATACACAATTTTATCTTTACTAGGGGAAAGAGGTTGGGAAGGGATAAATTTGGGAGTTTCAGATTTGCAAATGTTAGCCACTATATATAAAAACAGATTTAAAAAAAACCAAATTTCTTCTGTATAGCATAGGGAACTATGTTCAATATCTTGTAATAAGCTTTAATGAAAAAGAATATGAGAATGAATATATGTATGTATATGCAAGACTGGGACATTATGCTGTACACCAGAAATTGACACATTGTAACTGATGATACTTCAATAAAAAATAAAATAAAATAAATAAAATAAAAAGAAATGAAGAAAGTGCTAGAAACCTGAAGCTAGAGCACTAGAGGGACCATTCGTTCTGGTTAGTCAGTGACAGCCCCAATTGACATCTGTTATCCTGTATCAATTAAAAATAGTGCCCTATCTTTGCTCTAAAAACGCTCTGATTTGGACACCTAGTGGCCACCCCATTTTAGGGCAGTAGCGATTCAGTTCTGCAGCAGAGGCTATAGTTTGCTACAAGAGACTAAGGGTCAAAAGAGATACAGGTCAACCACAAGCTGCAGGATCACGGGCAGGGCCTCTGACCTCACTGGCCCTTATGTT